GAATTTTTTTTTTACTAATTATATTTTATATATATATATATATATATATATACACACTATAGAAATATATAAAAATAGAAAAAAATATAAAAAAATCAAAAATCCAAAAAAAGAATTTTACTTTGCTTACTTTATTTGTTTATGCGAAAGATTGGATCTGAAGACTTAGTACCTTACGATTCAGAGTTAGATCGTACTTCGAAAACAAAAAAGAGAAATTAAAAATTTAAAAGAAATGACAAATAACTTAAAAAATCCAATAAATGAGAATCGACAAAGACCTTTAAAAGATTATGTGAATCCGACAGCAAATAAACTTCACTTGACTATTCAAAATCCTGATGTTGTTGCTAATTCATTTGAGCTTAAACCTGCTATTATTCAAATTGTACAAAATAATCAGTTTGGAGGATCGCCTACTGAAGATCCTAACTTACATCTTGCTAGTTTTCTTGAGATTTGTGCTACATTTAAATATGATAGAGTGTCTAATGATGATGTTAGGCTTAAACTTTTTCCTTTTTCATTAAGGGATAAAACCAATATTTGGTTAAACTCATTAACACCTGAATCTATTAGAACTTGGGGAGAACTATCACCAAAATTCTTGGCTAAATATTTTTCACCCTTGAAAAACGCTACAATATTACATCTTTTTGTCAGTTTGAAGGAGAATCGATATATGAACCCTGAGAAAGATTTAAGGATCTCCATAGAAAATAGATTTAAAGATCTTCTTAGAAAATGTCCTTGGTTAATAATTCAAATATGGTTAATAATTCAAATATTTTACAATGGATTAATAGGATCACTAAGATCTATTATAGATGCTGCTGCGGGTGGATCAGTAATGTCAAAACTTTTTGATGAAGTATATTCTTTAATTGAAGAAATGACTACTAATAATTTTCAATGACCATGTGAAAGGGTAAATCCTAAGAGAGTAGTCAGTATTCATGATTCTGATGCAATATCTATTTTAGTATCTCAAATTACTGCTACTTCTAAAAATATTTATCAAATAAGAGTGAACTATTCTCAAATACTCCCAGTATTAGAAGAAAATTCACTAGGATAGATTATTGATACTCAACCATCTTATGAAACTTTAAACGCTATAAATAATCAAAATAACAATCTTTATTCTAACTATTTTAATCCTGGTTGGAAAAATCACCCTAATTTTAGTTGGAATATTTATAATAATTCGGTGAATCCATCCGGAAATCTGAACAATCAGGGAAATCCTAATTTTCGACCTTATTATCCTTCGGGATTTAACTCCAACCCTAACTCACAAGTTAAGGAGAAGAAGTTGACGATGGAAGAAGTAATGTTGAATATGAAAAATCAAATACAGAATTAAGGGGCTGCTATTAGAAAAATTGAAAATCAATTAGGGCATATTGCTATTGCACTTAGTAATAGACATTAGCCATTCTGAAAAAAAAAAAAAGAAAATCCTTGGGGAGAAGCTTAAGGTGATGTTTTAAATAAAAATTGGTGTCAATTCCTTTAAGGTTAAAAAATCAATGGCTTCTCCAACCTCAATTAAAAACTTTGTAGTCATAGAAATGGAAACTAGAATTCAATGTTTTAATTAAATAGATAACTAGATTTAGGGGTGATTTATTTTACATCAGCTGAGCTTCATATAAGTGATTTTGGATGAATATTTAGATTTGAATCCCTACTTTCAAAATGAGGACGTTAGGGATAAACTCTGAAAGTTCACTTCAAAGGAGATACATCTCTACTTCTACTTATGTAAATTCACATTTCACTTAGTATGCATTAAACCTTTAACACTACCTACCACTATATAATTTGTAATGAAGAATTCTTAGATATTGAAATGACTTGAGGGCAAGTAATATTTATGTTTGAGGGATTTTGACGTGCATAGAAAATGTGTTGATTATATGTTTTATTTTGATCATTTTTACGTTAATTTTACACTTTTTTTTGGAAGTTTTTGTGATGTGTTTTGCAAGATTTAAGAAAGTGATAAATTGAAGCTGGAAATACCCAGGAATTTGCAAGTGCTGCACTAGCACTTAGGCATCAAGACTGTGCACTTAGGCGATATGACTGCCAAAAAAGGCATCATTTCCAACATTTTTCATTCTTAAGACAGAACGCATAAAGTAGGGGTCACCGACCAGCGTCTGGACGCCAAATAGAGCTCATAATTCGTGCAAATGATAGAGAAGGTGAAAAGTAGGCTCTACAATAGTAGCACCTAGGAGCTATAGCCTAAGCACCTTGGCACCACATACGGGGCAAATAGGTGCTCGATGCCCTTTGAACTGAAGATTCGTGCCTAACGCCTAGGTGCCATATCCCATCACCCATGTGCTAGTTCATGCATTTTGGTGGTTTTTACAGTTCAGACGTGGTGTTTTGCTAGGAAAATTATGCAAAAACTTTGGGAATGAGGGACTTTTCAATGTTATTTCCATGCATTTTCATAGAGTAGTCAATCTTTAGAGGAGGCCAGTGGTGAGCATTAGAAGGAAGAAGAATCTAAGGCTTTTGAGTGAGTAAAGAGAGTGAATTTGAGTGTTAGTGAGTATTGTATGGTGCTTGCGCAATCTTTTAAGGTAGAATAAGTGAGATAAGTTGTAGTATTTTAGTGTATTCAAAATCACTATCCCTTAAGCTTTTGTGATTTAATGTTTTATTTCAGTAAAATGTTGATTGCATTGTGCACAAGCATGTGTAGTAAATAATTCATTAATTCTCCATTGGATTGGTATCGTAGGGATGATAAGATTGAATTGTTTTGTGTGATTTGTAGTGGAACTTAAATATAATGTTTTGTTAGCCCTGTTAGCATAATTTACATTTATTCTGATCAAGTGAATCGTTAAAACTAATTGTAAACTTTAAGATTCAAAAGAATACTTAGTGAAATGATTAGGTTAAGCTCACAAATTTAGAGGAATAGGGATATTGCCTCCATATTTGTGCAAATTTGCAAGGAAAGTTTAATCTTGGGCTGCGTACTAGATTTAAGATACTAAACTAGTACACTTGCAAATCTTTCTTAGATGCCGAGTGGGTATAAGGAAGAGATTGCACTTGTTTGAATTTACATTTGATTCACAAATTTAATCCTTGATTTATGCAAGGCCAATTCAGGGGAGAATTCTCTTGCACTTGACATCTCTCTCTTAGAACTCTTATCTTTTTTTGCCTAGGTTCTATCACTTTTCAAAAAACTATGGTCGCCACTCTTACTTAAGACAAAATTTCAGACATTCAAGTTACGTTAAGTTTGAAAAGACTAGAAAGTTTTTCATTTTGGGATTTTATTTGCCCCCTGTGGGATTGAGTTACTGAATTCAATTTTGTATACTACTTGTACGACACGTATACTTGTGTTATTCACTAGTGCTTTACCGAAGATAAAAAGCCAAATTTACAAATTGAATTCAAGTTATCCAATCTAAACATGATTTTTCAAATCATTTCTACTCTCCTCGACATCTTGAATGAAAGGGATGTTAAAATTGAGAAACTAATGTAGACCAATTTAAATATGGCTAAAGTTAACCAATTCATTAGTTTAGCTTGAATTGAATTTGGCAAGTCACTAATTATGAACCAACTTAAATAACCAATAGTATAATTCATTAAAGGCCTTTGGCCACACAAACCCAAATTCCATTTAATCACCCAATAATCAACTCTTATTTGATCCTTATATTGGATTACAAAACTAGCTCACTAACTAATATAATCATTTATTGTGCCCAAGAAATTTGCCCCCTGATTAAGGGTTATCGCTAAACTAACTTATCAAAGGTGTACTCACTCTCAAACTTAAACTCCAAAGTTCTTGCTTAGCAATTGACTGCATGACAGACTTATCCCTACAAGGCTCGCTACATCAAGTTTAAATTACATATTATCCATGTAATCATCCTAATTAGTCGATTCAATAATGTGTTGAAATTTATCTTAAACCATAAATAGATGTCATTACACACGAGAATCAAGCAATATTATATTTTCGGTGGTTGACACTATGCACCATTAAAATCAATCGCAAAATCTAGAGTTCTCCCCAAATTTCTTCATTAATTGCCCTTGCAACTTGAGAGAATGGATGAGACATAAGGTGGGTTCGTTTCGGCTGTAGCTGTATGAAATCTCAGTTCAAAAGCTGTTGTTGAAAATATATTGTTCAGAAGCTGATGTTTTAGAAGTTGTTGGTTTGTTCGAAAAACATAATTCTGAAATTGTTGTTTGTGCACTAATGACTATGGTATCCCTCACTATATATTATGTAGATAGCATAAAGACAAAGCAAACTACAGTGAAAATTATTTTAGAAAATTTTGGGCAAGCTATCTTAGTTCAACACCATTATCCTTCATAGCACTCAAACAAATACATTTTTAGCTAGCATCAAAAGATGACACTTCATTCATCTCTCTAATATAATTGTCCAGTAATTTATTCTTTCAAATTTTTCCTCTGTTATATGTTGTAGGTCAAAAGAAAAATTATTCCATATATGCGGTGTCCGATCTCCACCGTTGATCACAGTGTTTAAAAAAAAATTAAAATGGAGCCTACCGAAATACATCTTCGCTGAAACAATGGTGCAGATCGGAAGATGCATGTACCTATGGTATAATTTTTTCCAAAAACTTATAAATGCAACCATAAGCTCTTTCGTCCTCGTCAAATAGCCTATTTATCCCCCACTCTAGTTTATGGGTAAGAAGCAAAGAGCTTAGCAAAGCATCTCAATCAAGGCATACAAACCGCAGTAACAAAACTTTAAATTCAAAGCCACGAAAAAACTAATGATCCCAAATCATCAATCTCTCCGCTGCAACACGTCTATACACATTTCCATTACAAAAATGTTTCTTCCAAACTTTCAGGATTGACACATCAATCTACCATACAATTAAACATATACATCACAATAAACAGCATAAAATGAAAACAAAAGTTTCAGAATTGCAGAAAAGCCTCCATACCGGTGCTCTTTCAGGCGAGACATGAAGAGAAATTCATTGGAATTAATCAATGAATCCCGTTTTCTGAAACACGGTGTTCCGCAGCCGACAAAGATCCCTACCCTTCAGGGTTCTCCCCACTCCCTCAAATACAGAGAAGGTTGTCACGTGCGATCTCGCGACGATCACGTGCGGAGGCAGCATCTCGTCCTCCGCCTCCTCTTCCCCGCCATCATCCACTTGCATCAACGACCCGGAAGGCGTGCGCCGTCCTCTTGGCCATATCGGAACATTCATCGGCGCCGATTGATGAAAACCCTCGCTGAACTCGGCCGGCACCGGCCTTCGTCTAGGCACGTTAACCTTCGATCGGCGGTAATGCATCGTCGGTCTGATATCCTCTGTGAGGGCAACTGCAAGCCCTAATTTCTCCGACGAAAAAGGGCGGATCTGGTGATCGGAGGGGGAGATGAGTGAGAAATCGCTGATGGGGCGGCAGGGAATGGTGGAGGTCGGCGATTCAATTACAGCTGAAGAGAGATCCGCGCAGCTGTCCGGAGACCATACCACATCCCCCTCGTCGAGCTCATAGTGGTTTACGGTGCATGGAGAGGAGTTTGGAGGGTCGGTGAGGTCGAGGAACCGGAAGGAAGAGGTGAAGGGAGAGGTTTGCTTTCGGTAGAGAGATGATGACAAGCTCACCGCAGTGGTTCCCTCCTTCGCCATTGCCGACTCGGTTCTTCTCCTTTCCTGCGCTCCGGCTTAGCTTCAGTCGGCGGTTGTAATATAACCATGACGCGGGTGGTGTAGATTAGCTTATACAATTCACAGGGATCAGGATACCGGGCTTGAGTGGACTGTCAACGGGTCGGATTCCGATCCAACTCAAATTTATTTTGGGTTAAATTCTGGTTAGATCGGTTTCGGGTTTATGGGAAAGTTAATATAATGGGTTTATCATGAGTGTGACTGTTAACGTCCCTATTTATAGTCGAGTTGGAGTCAGCTCGAAAAAAATACGAACCAACATTTTGGCTCATAACTTGACTCATATATTTCGATTTGATTTAAATCCATTCCAATTTTTGAATAAAATTTCTAAATTAATAAACTTCAAAGTCTTAATGTCACTAGAGTTGTTAACTATATGATTTCAAGCCAAGCTGGAGTCAGTTCAAAATTGACTTGAAACAAACTCAATCCAAAATTTTGGCTCATAGTTAGGCTCGTTTATTTTGAGCCAAAATTCCAATCAATTTTCGAGCGACTAATTTGTTGATATTTATAAAATGACTTAATTAGCCAAATATTATCCTTAGTCCTCTAGACATATATGTTGTGAGATATACCAATTGTTGTGGTATATAATATAAATAAAATAGGAGAACAATCAACGACGAAGTGAAAAATAGAACGAGAAAATTTACACTAGAAAGCAGTAACACAACGGAACACACTGATTTACCTGGTTCGACAAACTACCTATGTCCATGGAGTTGCAGAGAATTTTACTATTTGAGAAATTTACACAAATTGATCGTTTCGACTTAAAAGAGGAATCTCTCACTTCGTTGTTCTTTCTTCTTCTTTCTCTACACCGAGATACACCGAAGAAACTCTACACTGAGATGCATCGACGAAATAAAACTTACAAGAGAAATAAACTCAATTTTTCTTCTGTCACAAGCCATCAAGAAGAAGCCAAGGGGGAACAATCTTCTTCTTCTTCTTCTTCTTCTTCTTCTTCTTCTTTCTTCTTCCTTGTGCCAAGCACGCACGCACTGCTTGCACTTCGCTTCCTCTATCTCAAGGAAGCCCTTCTACTGTCCCGTAAAAGTCTGAAGAAGAACACAAAAATCGTGACTTCACTTAATTTGAAAGAGAGCCTCTCTTTTTTAACATGAAACCGGGCGCGGAAACAGGAACATTGGAGGCGAGAGCGATTGGCATGACGTTTCGCGACTGAGGAGCGGGGTGCGACCTTTCACAGGCGTCGGGAGAGGGACGAGATCGGGTTCCACACTAACAAACCTCCCACTTGGAAACTGATACACTGGCTTCAACATCTTCTTCTTCAAACTGATATCCTCCACTAGCGACGTCGACTTTTTCTTCAAACATAAATCCTCCACCTCTGCAACTCAAAACATCTGTCTTCACTCCAAAAGACCAACTGAAGCTGCACACAACTTCAGTTTCTTAAGAGTAACACCCTCAGTCAACATATCAGCAGAGTCCAAATAGTCCTGCACCTCCAAGCTACTTCCTAGATTACTCTTGCCTCTGCTTACAACTCCCACTGCATGAGCAATATTCTGCCTCTGCTGAAAGCTTTTTTCAACAAGTCTAGCCTTGTACCTCTTACTGTCATCATGCTCAGTCTTCATTTGGTACACTCACTTGTTGTGTAATACCTTCTTCCCTGGTGGAAGTTCTGCGAGATCCCACTTGCTCGAACTTTCATCTTGCAAGATTTCTTCATAGTTCTTTGGTTCTCCACCATCTGTCTGTGGAACAATATGAATGAGTGCCCCAGACCCAATCTCTTCTTCACTTCCATCATCAACAGAACTATGAACTGCCAACAATAGTGCATCATGTACTTCTTCAGATACCACAATTGCGCTATTATTCTCCATCTTTTTAGGATTCTTGCAGTTCCTCTTTATATGGTCAGCCTTGCCACAATTCCAGCAGGTTGTCTGCTGACCAGACTTTAATTTTGATCTCCCTTTATTTGAGTTTCTATCATACGATCTCTCTCTGAAATTAATATTTAGTGTTGAACTCGTACTTGAGATCTAGCCAGAATCTTTGCTGCGCACCTCCTCAGCCAAAATCAATTCATGAATACCATCAATTTCTGTTTAGATTTACCTGCAGAATTACTAACTGCTAATTGTCATCCTCATGACTTCCCAACTATTTGACAATGATGCCAACAATATCAGCACACATATCTTATCATCAAAATCAATTTCAACAGATGATAATTGATTTGTAATAGTATTGAAATCATTCAGGTGTTACACAACATAAACAACTTCTGTCATCTTCAAGTTGAATAACTTCTTCATCAAGTACACATTGTTATTCGTCGATGGCTTTTCATACATACCTGATAAAGCTGTCATAAGATCTGCAGCAGTCCTCTCCTTGACTACGTTGTGTGCAACGGACCTCAACAGAATTAATCGAATAACCCCCAAAACCTGTCGATCCAATAGATTCCATTCAGTCTCATTTATTCTTTCGGATCTTTTCCCCAATAAAGGAAGATAAAGCTTCTTCATATAGTGGTAGTCCTCTATCTGCATCCTCTAATAACCAAAATCTGTGCCCTCAAACTTCTCGATCCCTGAAAACTTCACTTCATATGCAGTCATCATTCTTCCTCAGATCTGAACAAAACTCTGAGACGAGTTGTTGTGGTATATATATAGAAATAAAATAGGATAATGATCAACAACGAAGCAAAAAATAGAACGAGAAATTCACACCAGAAAACTTTAAAATAGTGGAACACACAAATTTACGTGGTTTGGCAAATTGCATACGTCCACGGAGTTGCAGAGGATTTTAATACTTGAGAAATTTATACCAGTCGATCGTCTCGACTTACAAGAAGAATCTCACAATTCATTTCTCTCTCTTCTTCTTCTCTCTCTACACTGAGATACACCGAAGAAACTCTACGCCGAGATACACCGAAGAAGATAAATTTATAAGAAAAATAAACCCAATTTCTCTTCTGTCACAAGACACCAAGAAGAAGCCAAGGAAGAACAATCTTATTATTCTTCTTTTTTACCAAACATGCACACACACTGCTTGCACTTCTCTTCCTCTATCCCAAGGAAGCCCTTCCACTGTCCCGTGGAAGCCCGAAGAATAACACAAAAATTGTGACTTCACTTAATCTGAAGGAGAGCCGCTCCTTTTTAACATGAAACTGGGTGGGGGAGCGGTTGAGCATGGCAAAGCGAAGCTTCGCTTTGCGGAAACAGGAACATCAGAGGCGGGAGCGGTTGGCCCAATGTTTCGTGACAAAGGAGCGGGGTCGCGACCTTTCGCGAGAGTCGGGAGCGGATCGAGAGGCTGGACGGGATCAGACTCCAAGCTAAATATATGTCTATCTTGCTGGTCTTATCCTCATCAAGTCTGGGGTCTTGGAAAGATCTTCTTCCAGCCGACTGCTTTGGTAAATAGGGGAGGCTCTCAACATTCTTGTACTTGGTCACCCCTACTTGGCATTCCGAACTTGACTCGTGAGCATATTTGGCTGACTCTTGTATGAGTATCTGATGCTTCGAGCTGACCAAGGCTGGCTTGTACAGCAAAGCGGCTTGAGAGAATGTGGTTGCTTATTTGACTTGCCAATTTCAATTCTACAATACTGTGATGCACATAAGTTACCTAAGAAAATTAAAAAAATGTGTTTGACACCAATGAGCTAGATTGATTCCGCATGGCACATAAGCGGCTAACAAGATTGGCCCTGCACCCCGCCCATCATGCTCGACCAGAAAATCTCAACCTTCTATTTATTTCGAGCCCAGCCCAAAGAAAACGGCACACAAAATATTACCCTTTGGCCCGAATGAATCCCCCTTGTTTCTTATTGGGCGGGCCGAAACGTTGCACGGTTAATTGGGTGGGCCAACACCCAAATTCATTTATTAATTGGGCTACATGGATTGCAGAAACCGATATCGTAAATGACAAAAGATTATTTTATTTTTCCATTGTGATAATATATTTTAATAATTACTTTATAAAATGTTAATTTAACCTCATCACTTGCTTCATAAAGACATAAGAAAATGAAATATTTGTTGTGGTGGACCCATGTAGCTAGAATTTTGAAAATGTGAATGTCCAGCCCAACCGTACATGCCACTTTGGCGTCCATTAATTGAAGTCAATAAAAACATCCTGATTTTAATGAATTTAATTTTAGCCGTTCAAAATAATATTCGAAATGACCGAAAATGACAAAATTATTAGTTGTCCGCACAATAGGAGTGACGATGGGGATCCCGCCCCTCTCTCCTACTATTGTGCAGACGCATCATCCTAATAGTTTTTTCCTGAAAAAGAATCATTTTTTTTAATGCACAACTCGAACTTCATTTGAAATTACTAGGTTGTCTACTGAATTTCTTTTAACAACTGCACCGATTGAACTGGAGTAAACGAGTAGCAATTTGGAAAGGAGAAATTTTGCCGTCTTTGCAACTTCGACAGCATTCTTCTCTCGCTATTTCATCAAACGAAAGTTATTTCAAAGGTCGGTGTTTGCTCCGACTGAACGGGACCTCAACGCCTTCTCAAACAAAGTTTTAGATTTTCATTTACGTTCGAGTCAAGTTTGACCGCTGAATAAAACAAAACTAGCTTAAAATAAACCAAAAGAAAAACGTATATTCCCCACTCGGTTATAAAATTCAGCAATTTGAGTGAACTTGTAACCACAAGCATGAATATTGAAATTTAACAAAAACTCTTGGACATAAATTAAGGAGGAAAATTTCATTTAATTAAGGAGATCTCAGAGGTTCATATTAGTTCAATAATTTAGTTAATTACTTTAACAAAATTATTAGCATTTATATTTGCTTAAAGATGCATTATCAATGTAGTAGGGTCATTAGTTTCTTTTTTACAATTATTATGACATGAAATATGATATACAATCTCAAAAGATGAGAAGTGAATTTTGTTCTAGTATAACTCATGAAAGAAAAATAAAATGCTTTTCTAAATCTAAAGATCTTGTTAAAGGGATGATTTTGATAATCAACACTAGCCGATCGAGAATTCATCTTGATTGATCATTGCATCTTTTGCATGTATTGATAATCTATGAATATTCATTAGGACAATCAAAGAGTATTTTGGCATGGATATCTTGCTAGCTCAAACAAGAAGGAATGTAGATACAACCCTTTGGATATGCTTTGTTTTCTCAACACTCAATATATAGGATTAGAGTTAATCTAATCTTCATTTGTAGAATTTCTTCATGTATGTTAACATGAAGTTGAGAAATCATCAGCTCATATGCATCAGAATGCAGAATTAGTAAAACTTTGATAACTCATAAATCTATAAATGTTGTTATCTCTTATACTGTGTTTTGATCTTTTGTACAATCTCACATAAAAGATTAAAAATCATACAATTTCTATTTTTTGATTTCATGTTCTTATTTGAACGTAAAGTAACTTGTTCACTTGAGAAAAAAATGATAATGAGATGTTAGGACGGGTAATGTAGAAGTTTTAGAAAATAGAAGTGTCAAATTGTTACAATTAGAGAAAAGAGTAGAGGAGATTTAGCAATTTGGCTTGTTCCCAAAAAAATTGTTCAATTAGTGTGTTTCTTGGAAAAATTTCTTTTGGTTGGTCTATACTTTTGAAATGAGCCTATTTAGCCAGGGTTCATTTTCTTTAGAAACATAATTAAAAATAAATTAAAATGGCAACATATTAACCGATATTTGAGATCACCATGAAGGACCTCAAATGCATACAAAATTAAGCTATAAATCCATCTATCTTGGAGATTTACATTTTATAATCCAACCAATAAAAATGTGGACAAGAAAATCATACAATATTATAGATTTATGCTTAACTATGATAGCCTACTCATTGTCAGTAGATTAATGGAGTTTCTCCATAGTAAGGATACACACACACACACACACACACATCTTCTTGAGTCAAACTCTCAATCCTTCTGGTGAGCACTTCTTTCAGAAAAGAGAGAAAGGGGGGAGAGAGAGAGAGAGAGAGAGAGACCCCATGGGTGGGAGGATGCATCTACCACTTTGTTTCATCCAGCCATTCAAGAGAGAGAGAGAGAGAGAGAGTGTGTGTGTGTATGGAGGGAGCAAGAGAATGAGAGAGAGAGAGACCCCATGGGTGGGAGGATGCACCTATTACTTTGTTTCATCCAGCCAAAAGAATAGCTGCATTCACATAAAAATAATGCCAAGGCCACATGCAGCTGTCACATGAGAACGGGTAAATTTAGAATTCAAATATAATCTATAATGACTATTGTTTACATAAATCAAAGAAAAACATTTCTAATAAAAATCGCCATTACTGTGCAATTCCTGTAGGATTTTGCATGCATGGCTCTATAAAAGATATTTACAATCACAAAACAGGGGCAAAGTTGATCATGTGTGGTTCCTGGCAAGTTTAACTCCATCACCCAACGACAACGCAGCGGATACCTTCTTCAAAGCATAAAAAATCAAATATATAATACAAAACATAAAAAATTTCTGGGATGAGAACAACCGCAGATTTATCCTCATTCCATGCCCTCTCATGAAGCTGACCAGTGAATGACCGAACATCCCAAGCCAAGAAGCAACTAGATTTACAAGCATGGTTGCAAGTTCCATGGGTCCACCCTCAAATCTCCAATCACCATTCGCGGGCTCCACATAGGTTGGCCGGCATGACTCCCCGTTGCTCTCAACACGGTCGAAGCCTAGAGACTCATTTAACCAATCAGAAAATCTGATCAATAGCCTTGCGAGCCATGCGACTTCTGTATCTGAGATTGGTCGATGCATCCAGTCACCCTTGTATTTGACATCAGCCCATTTGCCTGTTCCGAAACCGGGATGCTTGGGAGCAAACACATCTTTTCGACCGTGACAAGGGCTGGGGAGATCTTCAATTGAGTTTTGTAAATGGGGTTGGGGGGCCAATGCAACATCAAAAAGAAACTTCATTTGGGATTTGATTGACTCCAAGGCTTGACGACTTTGCACGTTTTCACCTGACAACAAATGAATCTCATGCTCTGCTCGGAGGACAAACAACTGGAGGAAGAAAAAAAAATAAACAAATTTAGAATGTTTTCTATTTGGTGTCCGAAAGCAACTTAAAAAAACAACTTTATCCAATTAAGTGGGATCGGATACATGAATCATTTTTCTCCATTCTATCTTATTGAGTGTCATATTTTCATTTAACTCTAATAAATTAAGATATTTTTTATATAACATGCCTAAATCTTTTTAGGTCTATCTCTACATTTTTTAACATAAGCCAAATCTAAAACATCTACTCTCCTAACATGGTCATCAGATGATCAACATTTAATGTCACCAAACCATTCAAGGCAACTCTCTCTAATCCGGTTTGCCATTGGAGCTACTCCAACATTTTCACATATATATTTGTTTCGCATTTTGTCTGTGTAAAGGCACTCATTCACCTGAGCATTCTCATCTCAGCAACAGCTAAATTTTATGCTTCTTCTTTACAGGCCAACAATCGGTGCCACAAAACATTGCAAGTCCCACCACCATCTTATAAAATTTTCTTTAAATCTACTCGTACTTTTCTATCACAATATAAGTCCAATGCATTTCTCCACTTCAACCATCCAACTTGAATTCTACTAATAACATCTCCCTCAATATCACCGTCACTTTGAAAAAAAAAATTTGAAGACGCTCCTTGTAAAACTTTTTTGCACGTTATATCTGCTGGACACATTTCAACTGACACTCAAAAGTATGAGAACAATGGTTTATAATATTTAATTTCAAAGGTCTGTAAGCAAAAAGATTTTGCTCCTACTATAATTGTGAGGCAGTGATATCTTTATCTGTATTAAAAAATATTTACATATGATACATGCCATGCTCTATACTTATCATAAATTGTTGCATCTTGTGTAACTAGCACGCCAGTGTTTTTGTATCACCTTCACCCGTATTTGTGCATTAGGATACTACTGATATAAGACATACCTGAAGTAACTTAGGAGCCCCGTCTTCCCCGTCTTTAAAAAGCCTGAGATCTTGGTTCCAGTTTTCATGCAAGAATGCTCCATCGGTGCCAGTTTCACATAGACCGTCCTCCCAATCCTGAACAAAAAAGGAAGGTGCAAAGTAGCTCAGCATACATTTTAAAGCATCATAGTACCAAAAACTAGAAAGAAAAAGATGTGCTTAGCCATTGATAAGAAAGTCTTGCACCGAGCAGAAGCTCAATCATTGTTCTAATGATGACTGGCTACAGATCATACATTCCTAGTTTCTTAATAAAAAGAAATAGGTGGATGGTCACTTACCTCCAGCTGCTGGCGAATTGATGGAATGTATTTATCCACATTAAAGTGCGAATAGATCCCTGATTTCTTTGATTGATATGCAGTGTGAACATTTCGAAGAAGGTTTGTTAGCTCCTTGGATGAAGTCAAAATGTTTAAAACCTGCAAAGTAGACCAACATTAGAAGTACTTAGCATTTCAGTTGTGTTTGCAATTTATGTAATTAGAAATGCAGACAAATTGGACGGCCATTGAATATTCTATAGATGGTAAATTCATTGTATCTTAACCAAACAATAATAAAGAGCGATTTCTAGAGAACAAAATCAAGATGCTCGCAGAAATAAATTTCACATTATCAATAGCCATATCCCAATTAATTGGAGTCAACATTATGAGTAGTCGTTATTATTTGTAGACGTCAAGTGATCTCTAAGGTTTTAAACATCTTCATAAATCATTTCAGTCAACTCATCTTAAAAGATGCCACAACAGATTAGCCAATAATATAATTATTCTTTAATCCATATTCTCCATTTTATCACACCTCTAGCTTAATATTCTTATTTCACTTACGCTCAACTTAGAAATCAATGAATTTTTCCTAGCCCGACATGTATTGCTGGCCTAATTGTGGTTTAGAAATTTCCATTTAAGCATCAATAATATCTTCTTAAGACAATTTTTCAGGCACTTTTCTATTTTAACCATTCACTCCCAATTCTAGAATTTATATCCTTAACTATATCTCCACTTTTTTAAATAATAGATTAACATCTAAGTACTCTATTATCTCCTAATAATATTAAATGATAACTATTAACATCACACTAACTAAAACTACAAATCTTATTCTAGTAATTCTAAATTATCTATCTTTAAAAGTTTCTTTTATTTATCTAATGTTTCATGCCATCAACAAAAGCAATTTTTAAACTTTAATAACATGAAAAAAGAAAAAGATGCCAATCAACAATGACATCACATTGAGCGACATTTCTCTTCTCCTCCTCTTAAAAGGCTATATAAGAAATTTCTCTCTAAGTCGTAAATTGAAATTCAATAACATGCATCAATTGCACCATCTAAGAGAGTTTACCCTAACAAATGTGTCAAATAGTGAGGGATAAGCAAAGTTGAGATAAAGTGACCAAAGATTCTAATGAAGTATGCCAATGATAAAATAAAAAATGATAATAAAGTCTCATACAGTCAAACCCAATTGCTTGAATAGGTTTCATAAAAATATGATTAGAATAGAGGAGAATTTAGGGACCTTCATTAATAAGATGGGCCAAGAACATATCGAATGTTCTTTACTAGCTTGTGGATATGAACATTCAAATAGCAGAAGTCAAGGGTTAGAAATTTTGGAGGACAATAGTATAAGAATTAGTTCGAAAACTAAAACAAGCCATAAATTCATAGCTGATGGCTGGAATTATCATTTAGGGCCTGTTTGATTTTTTTAAAATGAAATGCAATATAATATATTACAGAGTACTATGATTATGATGCATTTGAAATGCTTTGGAGTTGTTTGATTCATAATAAAATAAATTTAGGATTTTTTTTTGTTTGAAGTATATTAAAAATAATGTATTTTAAAATATATTTTTTATCCAGCAATAGCACGAGGGGAGAATGGGGGGTCGGCAGACTGTCGGCGCCCGCAGACGGCCAATAGCGTGCGGCTATGGCGATGGGAGGCTAGCAACGGCTGGCAGCTTGCCGATAGTGAGAGCAATAATTCAAATTCGTCCAAATCCGCCGCCGAATTCTAAATTCAGCCAAAATGAACTACGATGTAAACTTCGAATTTATTCATACTTTGCATTGCATTCGTAATTCTTCATAGCAAACACATAACTTTATCAAATCCCTACAAAAGAAGTACAGTACATAACAAATTCACTCAACCAAACGGCCCCTTAAGCAGTAAGGAACGAGCAAGTTGGTACAAGTCAAATAATTTACAAGGAAAAATCATTAAAAGAACCAGATCAAGCGTTCTCTAAGAAACGTAAAAAATATATATATGCTTCTTTACGAAACCAAGGAAATCAGATACAATAAAAATTAAGACAGAAACTGAGACAACTTAGGTAAAGAAGGAAAACATGATAACTTTAGGCCAGCTAAACCTTTGTAAAGCAAATATAAAGTTTTAATTATTTTAACTCAGAGGGAATATTGCTAATTAAAGAAATTATAGCTAATAATTGAAATGCAAAATATGAGAGTTGAATCGTTCAGCTGAGTCAGCATGGCTACCATGAGAAGAGAGAAAAAATCCTGTTGTATCCATTAAAAATAAGTGCAAATGTAATATTCAGAGGATGACAGAATTTGTTGAAATCAACAAATTAATAAAAAGTGAGAGCCAATCCATATCACTCAACAAGAAAAAAAAAAAATTATAATTAATAATAATGGAACGTAATCTAACATGATGAGAGCATAACTACTTTACTGTGCAAATTACAGTAAATAAGTATTTAGGATTTTGAGAACCATATTGTCAGATAAATATAAAATACTAAAATTAACAACAAACATGCTTTATGGAACTAATTGACAAGTAAAAAAAAGCAGTAAGCCGGTTTATTTATGATGCATCATATACATTCATATTTGTCAGAGCACGCATCTTAATATGTTTTCACGAAACAAAATAACAAAGAGAAATAAACTAAGCAGCAGTAATTGCTTAAAAAATTACAAAGAATGCACATACAAAAAAAACTTCAATGTTGAGAACACCAAAAAAATCAATAAAAGTAAAAAAAATCAACAACATCAACAATAAGCCTTTATACCACTAAGTGGGGTCAGCAACATAAATCCTTTGTCTCCATTGCGTACATTGAGTGTCATATTTTCATTTAATTTTAATTACAATAACAACAAAGCCTTAATCCCACTACGTGGGATCGGTTACATGAATCATTTTTCTCCATTGCGTCCTATTTAGTGTCATTTTTTCATTTAGTTCTAGTAAATTAAGATCATTTTTAAAACAATAAGCCCAAGTCTTCCTAGGTCTACCTCTGTCTTTCTTAACACAAGTGAATCTAAAACATCTATTCTCCTAATCGGATCACCAGATGGTCGACGTTTAATGTGACCAAACCATCTAAGACGACTTTCTCTAATTTGTCCGTCACAGGAGCTACACCAACCCTATCACGAATATATTCATTTCGCATTTTGTCTCTAAGTGCAAAGCCACTCATCGACCTAATCATTCTCATCTCGGCAACACTTAACCTGTTATTATGCGTCTCTTTTAAAGACCAACATTCAGCGCCATAGAGCATTGCAGGTCTCACCGCCGTCTTATAAAATTTTCCTTTCAGTCTAAGCGGTACTTTTCTATCACACAAAATGCCTTAAGCATTTCTCCACTTCAACCAACCAACTTGAATTCTACTATTAACATCCCCATCTATATCACCATAGCTTTGAACAAAGGACCCAAGATATCTAAATCGTTCACACCTTTTAATAATTTGATCACCCAAAGTCACACTTTTGTCACTAGAATTATTACTATTAAAATTACATTCCATGTATTCAGTTTTAGTTCTACTTAAACGAAGGCCTTTAGACTCCAATGTAGACCTCCATAATTCAAGTTTTTGTTGGGCTTTTTTAAAGCAAAAAGATATGGGCTTAAAGTCGATCCCTGATGTAAACCAACAGAAATAGGAAAATATTTTGTCAATCCTCCTTCAGTTTGAACACAAGTAACAGCTCTAGTATACATATCTTTAATGACTTGAATATAAGTCATATCAACACATTTCTTCTCGAGAACTCTCCAAAGGATATCTCTTGGAACCTTATCGTAAGCTTTTTCTAAATCAATAAAAATCAAATGTAGATTCTCCTTATTATCTCTGAACTTCTCCATCAAACCTCTCAATAAATGTATAGCTTCCATAGTAGACCTGCCCGACATAAATCCAAATTGATTATTTTTCATACAATTTGCCCAAGTCTTTTTAGGTGTACCTCTGTCTTTCTTAACATAGGTCTAATCTAAAGCATCTATTCTCCTAAAAGGATCATCAGATTGTCGGCATTTAATGTGACCAAAACATCTAAGATGACTTCCTCTAATCTTGTTTGTCACTGAAGCTACACCAACCAAATCATGGATATATTCATTTCACATTTTGTATCTAAGTGTCAATCTACTCATTCACCTAAGTATTCTCATCTTAGCAGCACTTAACTTTGTTTATGCTTCTCTTTTAAAGGCCAACATTTTGCGCCATAGAGCATTGCACGTCTCACCACTTTCTTATAAAATTTTGCTTTAAGTATGAGCGGTACTTTTCTATCACACAATAGGCCCGATGCATTCCTCCTCTTCAACCAACCAACCAACTTGAATTCTACTAATAACATCCCCATCTATATCATCATTGCTCTAAACAATAGACCCAAGCTATATAAAACGATCACACATTTTAATGATTTGATCACCTATAATTACAACCTTGTCAATAGAGCGACCACTACTAAAATTACATTCCATGTATTCAGTTTTAGATCTACTCAAACGTAAGTTTTTAGACTCCAATGTAGACCTCCATAATTCAAGTTTTTTTCTAGAACCCTTTCTCTAGACTTATCCACAAGAATATCTTCAGCAAAAAGCATACACCAAGGTACATCCTCCTATAAATGTCCAGCAAGAGCATCCATAACAAAAAGATATAGGCTTAAAGCTGATCTCGAAGTAATCCAACTGAAATAGGAAAATACTTAGTCAATCCTCCTTCTGTTTGAACACAAATAATAGCTCTATTATACATATCTTTAATAACTTTAATATAAGTCATATCAACACCTTTCTTCTTTAAAACTCCCCAAATGACTTCTCTTGGAACCTTATTGTAAGCTTTTTCTAAATCAATAAAATTCGTATGTAGATCCTGCTTATTCTCTATGTACATTCCATCAAACCTCTCAATAAATGTATAGCTTACATAGTAGACTTGGCCAACATAAATCCAAACTGATTATGAGAAATACTTGTATCAAGTCTTAACCTATGCTAAATTATCATCTCCCATAATTTTAAAGTATGACACATCAACTTAATTCCTCTATATTCGAGACTCTTGTGCATCCCCTTTATTCTTCAAATGGGAACAAAAATATTATTCCTCCATTCCTTGGGCATCTTTATAATTTTTAAAATAATATTAAAGAGTTTAGTACGCTAAGAAGCTTCCAAATCTCCCAAATATTTTCATGCTTCAATTGGGATATCATAAGGTCTTACTGATTTTTTACCATTTATTTTTTTTAAAGCCTCCTCAACTTCTTTTTTACTAATGCAACAGTAAAATAAAATGTAATTTTTATTAGTAATCTTATTAAAATCACTAAGGTTAATTGCATTTTCAGAAAATTGATTGAAAAGTTTATTAAAATAGTCCACCCACCTATGTTGAATATTTTCCTCTAGGAAAAACACTTTTTCATTTTTATCTTTAATAATTAATACACTTTACTTGCATTAAATCTTTGATTTTATTTTTCTTTGTTTGGCAAGTTTATAAATTTAAAAAAGTAACAATTTGTTAACTTTAATGTTTTCCCACCAATCAGCATAAGTTTGGATTCAGAAAAAGACTCACCATTATGAAACCTCCCAAATTTCTCACACTTCCTAACTTCAATCCAGATATCGATTGCTGAATTTGGAATTTTTAGAACCTATATTTCCTTATTGGACAGATCGTTTGCCCTGAGAGCGTTGGGAAACCTGAATCCTTCTGAATTTCTCCTCTTCTAAAAGTTTCTCTGCTTCTGGGTAGCTGTTAAATCCAACTCAATCCTCCTGACCCTCTCTACAAAAATAGAATAATCACCAATCCCAAAAAAAATCAATCGTTGTCAAATCATATCCTTCAGTCGATGTCAAAAAACTTGTGGCACTTTTTCTCTGCATTTTGAATCAACTGGGATGCTACTTTGAAAGCATAATGAATTCAACTTTATATTGCATAATATATTGATCTATATGCACTTGTCTAATAAATTTATCCTACATTTTCCATCTAGCTAAAAGTGGTAAGAACAAGTCTCTCAAAATATTCACAAACTTGTTCTACTGTATCATGTAGCTGGCTCAACCCCTAAATTTCTCCTGCAACTATCCTCGCCACTATCTCTCTATTCTTCCCTCTAAGACAAAAATGACAAGTGCGACACTTCTCTCTGGTAGATAAGATAACCCAACGAGAATCTTTTCCACTTTTAGCAGCCAGTTCTCAACATCCACTGGGTTTCATCCTTCAAAAAAGAAAGGTGATCTTATATCCTTAAATAAATTCAAAGACTTGTCCATCTGGCCTCCCCCCACTAAAACTGGTCTGAGTCTGAGAGTTCTTAATCATCTAAGTCACTGCAGCCATCATCTCAGAAAAATAAATGTGTTCATTAAAATATTTGGAGGTGTGACAATTTCTACCACATTATCTGTAACTTCTTGCCCTTGATTTTTCATTTTTCTGAAATAACATAAGAAAATTTATAATTAGATAAAATTTAACCATTCATTAATCTTATTTATGAATTAATTTAATAAAGTTAATAACATTTTTTTATAATGATCCAACATAATTTCTTTAATATCACTCTTGTCACGACTCAGTTTGATAGCTTAGAATTAACCAAGTCATGGTCAGACGATATAAACATTTCATTTACTTTCCACAAATTTTCATAACTTCCAATTTATAAAAGAGGCACCAAGAAACCACAAAATACACTAAATGTAATTTTATAAAAGGAAGCCTCCCATGCACGTAAGTCCTGACTTCTTTCATTCCTCCTCTTTCTTCTTCTTCCCTCTTCCTTCTCCTCTACCGATTGGCTAAGGCACGCACAAAGATCCCTTCTCATAGTCGCCAACACTCTCTCTCTCTCTCTCTCTCTCTCTCTCTCTCTCACACACACACACACACACAAACACATACACATACTATCTCGATTCTTCCGCGATTGTACAACAAGTGAGCCTCCTTAAGTGAAACTGTCAAGACGGTCATTCGATCCCGCCGATACGATTTCTTTTTTATTATTAAAATTTCAGTTATTATATATACATATCTTATATAAACATTTCCTATTGACTCAAATTATATTCATGCATATCAGAGAAATCCCAAAATCAATTTTGAGTTTACCGTGGAACTAGAAATATAGTCAACCAAAATTGCGAATAATTTAAGCAATTTCCAGTTTTGAGCTTTTTATAAGACTTGGAATGACAATAGAACCTCTCCATAATGACCATTAAAAATTGTATATTGTCTACAGTGTACACAAATCAACCAAACTCGAGTCATAGCAAGCTTGAGGTTAGCATGCATATCACATGATAGGCTCGAACTCAAGCTCTCGAGCTTGAATCATTGAGTCAATTGAAAGCTCATGCACGACTTATGAGCTTGAGTTCCTCCTCCAAGTTTGTGAAATCCTCAAAAAAGAAGAGAGAAAGTTGCTACAGAAGCTAGCTGGGAAGGGCACTAATGTAGGAATTCACAATTAAAGCTTGTTAGAGAATACATTGGGAGTGCAAAAATTGAAATGTGGGCTCCTAATAAAGGTATCCACAGTGAGATAGGATGAAATTCATAGTGAGAGCTCTCGAGAAGGCATTTGTGGTGAGATGGTGAAGTCACAACAAAAGCTCATTGGAGATAGCATCAAAGGACCAACAATGTTTGAAGAAGAAAATAAATTTGTGAGACTTGCGAGCTTAAAATCCATCTCAGTCTAACTTAAAGTAGGGAGAAAAAAGACTTATGATTGACCAATTTAATCCAATCAAGTAAACTCACAAACTAACAAAAAAAGCCTCATCAAGCTCTAAATCAAGTTCACAGCCCAATAAACTCAACTAAAGAGCTCATTAATGTGTTGAATTTGAGCCGACCTGATTCACTTACACACCTACTCTACACCTCTAAACAATTTTTAAAATGCACAACTTGCCGATGCATGGAAAACAATTAAGAAGACAGTTCCATGTACAATAAAAATTCTTTAAAACGAGTGTTCCATGTGCATTAACCAAATGAAACTAGAACAAAAATTATGCGTAATATTTAAAGCCACAACTTCCCAAATATATCAACCATAAAATGCTGGCAAAAGAACTAAATTAAAATCTCATTACTCTTTGAAATGGTTGCAGAGAATGTAAACAGTTTTTGGTTTAGGAAAACAGCGCATGATAGGCTTCTTGTAAAAAATATTTCACAGGCAAAATACGATAAAGCAAGAAAGCTAAAAATTAAATTGAAGCAAAAATTCAAACAAAAATTGAGTGTAGGACAAACCTTCAACACCATGCCAACTACTGTCTCAACATCTGCATGAAGAAACTTGTGTGCAAAACCAAGAAAATGCACAACTAATGAGCTGTAGAAAAGATAATTAGAAGCCACATAACCCTCCCAAAGGGGTGTGTACAAACCTAATGGATGGCAACTTGCATTTTCTCCAATGATTTTCCCCTGAATCGGTTCCTTTTTTGAGCTCTCCAGTTTGTACACAGTTGGTGGCTCAAACTCAACAAAATCTTCAGGATTAGTTCTCCAAGGAACCATGTACGATACCCATATATAGAAAACCTGAGTCACATTCTTCATAGATGCACCAATGGGGCAGAAAAGGAATGTCCTCAAGAGAAACCTGTACAATGGCCTCTGTACCGCTGAGTTCCAGGAACAAACTGTGCTCTCTAAAGAAACCATGGACCTCGTGGAAGAAGTACCAATCGACCCCAGAACTTTCGAACTACCTTCAGCACCAACAACTAAACAAGAGCTAAAATACTTTACAAACAACTTCACCATTTCACCCAATCCAGCAGTCGGAGGTGTCTCCACTATTAATGCTCGATGCCGAAATGAGATGCCAAAAGACCGGCAAACATTCAAAGCAAGAGGTGAAAAATCGTTGTCCACTAGCCAAAAATGAATCAATGCATAGACCAGGAACTCAGCCTGCTCAAATAATGAAATATCGCAGCTCGAAGAATAATGCAGAAGCGAGCTGCGGTATGGCTGATGAGAACCCAATCCACACTTCGGCACAAAGGCACACATATACGAATAAAAAAGTCGGAGGTATAAACTAACTTCAGTCTTATGACCAGACCTCCTGCTGGCATAGACAAGAACCGGCAGAGAAGAAGTCCAGCTCTCCAACCTCGACTTCCGCCTGCTCTTCGGTGCTAAAATATCATCCGAACCTTTACTACTCCCCCTACACACGGGATAGTACGCAAACCAAAATATATAGTACTCGAAAGCATTAAGCTGGAGCTGGAAAGCGCCCTGGATTGGATCCTCCTTGACCCTCCCTCTAAATAGAGGACACAAATCAGAGAGGATCGATGAATGGCGCTCGCTCTGCAGCGCGTACCTCATCCACTCCGGCAGCCGCTCCGCCGGGAATACGTACTTTACGAGGCCAAGACGATCGGCAGAGGAGATAGCCGAAAAGAGAGGTCCCTGCGGGGAAAGCAACGCGAAAAGGCGGACGGCTAGGTCAAGATTAAGATGGGCTTGGTCAATCCAAGCGGTGGAGGATGAGGTGGAGCGCATCGTGTTTATAGAAGATTCGTCGAAGCCGAAGAGTCGGCAGATGAGTGCAGGGAACGCGATGGAAAAGAAGGAACGTGACTGATCGGGGGAGAGCTTGCAGAGGATGGACTCCACGGCGGTGATCACGGTAGCGATGGCTGGAGGGGAGGAGGCTGTGAGGATGGAAGATGCGAGGTCCTGGGCTCGGGTGTGAGCATCCATGGAGTATGGTCGTGGAATCATCGAATTCGACAAGGAGAGGCGGCGTCTTCTCAGCTTCTTGCCTTTGCTGCGGCGAGGGATGGTGTGAAGTCGGAAGGAGATTTGAAAATTTTTATATGGGTGGGGGGGAAGAAGCCAGGGAGGATCAGTGCAGCCTATCGGGTTGGACGAAGATCTGGCCGAGAGAAAGAGACCGGGTCTTTGCTTTGAGATTCGAGCTTTAAAAGAGATCAACATACAACGCTACCGTAGCACGTATCATATTCGGATCTGATGCACTAAAATTAGGGTTGCATCCTCAACGGCGGACACGCAGCGGCCATGCTTATATTTTAAATAGCAATTGGATACAATAATACAATTTATGAAACATAGAAATAAATGCTATCATCAGCTTCTCATCTGATTGGTTACGGGTCTTCTCCACTCTTTTTTTTTATTATTCATATTTCTTGCTTTCTTTTTCATGTGTTCATAAATTTTATACTTGCATATGACGGACGAGTCGAGCTTGAGCGAGCCCAAACTTATCTCGTGTTCTGCTCATTAAAAAATACTATTATTCATGTTTGGATCTTCCATGTATCTAGAACAAAAAATTTGTTTATATTCGGCTCGTTTTCTTAACGAGTTAAACACGAGTTATTCGCAAACGAACCGTTTTGACAGCCTAGCCATGCAGTTGTGGGAATGGGCGAGCTTTAAATGCTATTATTTATATTAAAATAATTTAAAAAGAATTTAATATATTTTTACTTTATTTTTTTGATTGACTATAAATTTTTGTAGTCTTGTTGTCAATTAAATTATTCAAAAATAATGCTCATCAATTATATATGTAATTTATATATTTTGAGCAAAAACGAGTGTGTTTGGCTCATTTGTTTGCAAACAAATCAAACACGAGCTACTCAATAAGTCGAACATAAGCTGTTCACGAACAAGAAGCCCTTTTGACGGCCTTACCTATGAGATTCTTTTGTAATCCTTTTACTTTTTATATGAAATTGCTCGGCGTGGCTCAATTTTTAAATAAAAAATAATAATTCTATCTTCAAAAAAAAAGTTTTCTTTTTTACGAGAAAAAAATAACATTTTTTTCATTTTACTCCTATAATTTAAAATGACATTCATAAGAGTAAAATTGTCACCCATCGGGTCCGAAAACGATGCAGGGCATTATGAAATAAAATGAACATACTTTATATTTTCAAAGAAAGACTTGCATAAAAAAATGGAAAAGTAAATTTTATTAATACTGAAAAGTTCACTAATGCAATTGAACTCAAAACAGAAAATTAACTGAATAAAAACATAAGTGATAACATAAAACAACTACACAAACACCACAATAAAATATAATAACTAGAGCAAATACTGAAACAAAAACCAGAATAAAAAATCTAAAACTAAAAAGCCTGCTCCGGTGAAGACGGTCCTACTAGTGGCTGAATATAACATGTTATGCAAAATATCAATGAGTGAGTTTGACCAACAAACTCAGTAAATAACAATTATCTATTAAAAAATAATCAATAAGAGAAATTGAGCATACAGTATGGACAACAAATAAGGATAATCATATGTGCATATTGTAAGGCAACAAGAGTGACAAACATCAAGTGCGCATAACAAGAGAATGCATGCAATGGTTTCTAATCAAGTTTCTTATTATAAAATTTTCATTTATATTTATATATAGTTGCGTTTAACAAAAACCCAAAAACAGAGAAGATCATACCAATCCAAGAAAACCCGGTGATTTTCTGCATAATCGTCACTTTATTGGCCCGTTACTCAGTGAACCTTGACATTTTAATTATCTCAATGTTAAATAAAATATGTTATATTTTGAATATTACCCATTACTCGGTGAACCTTGATATTTTAATTATCCCAAAAGTGGGGCGCTCAATTAATCAGTTGATATCTTACTTAAAAGTTATATGGGTGGATGCCCCTAGGACAAGTTTAAGTCATTAAAGATTTTGTCCCTTGCACTAAAGTTGGGTCTGTAGTCTTTATAAGTGTTAATTTTCAATCATCTTATCTTTTCTAAACCTCCTTAAACAATCTTAGATTAAGCCTAGCTCACTACTAAGCAATTAACAATTTAAGTGGGTAAATTTGCAATTATTAGAATTTTAATTTAAGTGATACATATCCTTATTAAAAGATCATATCATATCCAATTGTGGGATTAAAAATAAGTTAATTATCATCTTCCTAACCTAAGCCCATTACTTTAGAATCATTTAAGTTTAATTAACTTCCAAATCTTGATAATTTAGGAAATTTCAATTTTACCTTTATCGTGAAAAGGATACAAATTGGTTTCTATCTTTTAACCCATTATGTTTCAAAAATCCAAAAAAAAATCATTATAATCAAAATTACTCACTTTTCACTTAGGTAATCTTAAATTTTGATTGAGGCAGTAAAAATTAAAATTATCATTTTGCCCCTGGGTCCTTCCACTTCATAACTTATTAAGTATGATTCAAATGACTTTGAAAATTTAGGGTACCCCATTTATGGGTCAATTAAAATATCAGAGGAGATAAAAAGTGATTTTTTTCAAAATTTAATTTAATTTAAATAATTATTTTAACTTAGAAAATATGATTGTCAATTTTAATTTATTTAACTAATAAAAATAAAGTTTTTGGTTATGGAAAAATTATTAGAGGTTCACCTAGATCATGGACCACTTAGACAAAATTCCATAATTTTTCAAATTATATTTTAATTATTATAATTATTTTAATGAAAAATTAGGAAAGATACATTTTTAGCCTTTAAAATTTATATTTAACTTAGGAAATTTAGGAAAAATATTCTAATGGGTCCAAAGTGATTAGCAAGCAGTTAGACACACTTTAAATTATTTTCATATTTTTGCAATTTTTAATTTGTTTTAATTGTTTTTAATTAAAAATATAGCTTAAATATTAAGTGATTTCTCAAAAATAATTTTTATTTTTCCTAAGTGCCTCTGATCACAAGGAACTTAGAAAATCACTTTTCATAATTTCCTAAGTGTATTTAATGATATAATTATTTTTGTACAAAAATACAATTTTTCTTAGCAAAACAACTTTAGTGCTTAAACTTAACCAAATAAACTTCAATTTTTTATAGTGAGTCAACATGATTTTTCTACACAATGTGGAATTGATTTTATTAATTTTTTAATAATTTTTAATTCAAATAATTTAATATAAGATATAAACATTTAACTAAGTATAAAAATATACATAATTATTAAAACTATTCTGATTTTTTTTTCTAAGCTCATCTGACCACAGAAAACCTACTAAAGGTCATCTCATAATTTTTCAAGTGGTATTTTAATTTATATAATTATTTTAAGCCAAAATAGTCATCCAAGCTTGAAAATTAGGGTTACATGCACATAGATGTTCTCTAACCTTAGAAAAATCAGAGAACATACATCTGTCATGAGGAATAAACCCTCAAAGTTTTAAGCCCTGGTGGAGAATATTTAAACAATTAAAATTAAAATACCTCAAATACTATTTAATTAATTAAAAATTAGGGACTCAAGAAATAATTTTTATCATTAATCCACATTATTCTCCTCTTTTCATTGAGTATGAGGGTATTTTTATTTTATTGTTATGATTTTTCAATGCAAAGTTATGGATTTTAAAGTTTTTTGAATTAAATAAATCCATAAAATCCTATTTATTTACTTAATCCAGTCAGCGCCAACTCATCCTACGGTGACTCTGAAAGGCCACGCGGTGCTCCGCCACTTGACTCAGCTATCACGCATTTTGCTGTATCGCTCCATCCATTCGTTCAGCGAAATCCAGAGCGTCCATTTAATACATGTGCAATCGAACGGTCCTCCATCATCGTCACCGATTAACCTAACCTGATAACCATCCAGAGTTTCCCCAAGGAATTGGATGGTCTCTCTCTTTTGCCATGAGAGGTGGAGTTTAAATAGAGGAGGAAGGAGAGGCCACCATGGCTGGCCAATGGGTTCAAAGAGTTGCTTAGGTGGAGGACTGAGTGACACGAGTGACTAATTGGAATGAGCCAACTCAGTTAGTTCAAATTTGGAGTTTAAACTTGGGGGTGGCTCTCAGTTTTGGTGTTTTCTTGCAAGGTCAAGGCTGGTGGTCAGGTGGCTAGGTGGCTAGGTGAGCTAGTGGGAGGGTTAATAATTATTAACTCTGATTGGTTAAGATTTGATGGCAAATATCTTTGGGTTTAGCCAAATATGGGAAAAATATGGGAAGAGATCCCGAAGAGATCCCCTAAATCAATGGACCTTTGGTCCATGGCTCATGTAGGGTGGGCTAGGTGGGTCTAGCCTGGTGTTCAGGGTCCAGATGTTAGTTGTGGTGGCTAGGGTTTGATCAATTTGGCTAATTTTGGTTACATGCATGGCTTGCGTTCAATTTTGGGCATTTTGGGCTCAAGTTGGACTATACTTGGGCTTGAGCTTGGATTGGGTCCAATTGATTGAGCAACTTGACTTGGATGATTGTTATGAATAATTCAAAAAAAGGATTGAGTGATTTTGAGTTGATTTGGAAGCTCAATTTGAAGGATTTTGGCTCATGGCCAATTTTGGTGCATTTGGGTCAACCTTAGGTTTGGATTGGACTAGGGATTTGGTTAGACCCAATTTATGGCTCAAATTGGTCTCAAGGATTGTCATGAAAAGTTTTGAATATCAATTGAGTTAAAATTTTGGAGTTATGGAGTTCAATTTGGTGGAACTTGAAGTTTGGGGCAAAATTGGGGGTATAAATCTTCCCATCTGCTTTTTTTATGTTAATTTAATTCAAAATAATGTCATAGTTACATTATCAAGTTTTCTCCTTTATTTTTTTTAATTTTATTTCATTTCCTACCTTGGATCTCCCTTATTGTCCCCTCTCGTTTATTTTTCTCCGTGGAACACTCATTTTCGTCCATCTCTCTCCACTCTTTCACTTAAACCAAGCCCTATTCCCTTGGTTTTCCCATTTCTCCACATTGCTTTACATTTCCTCACCTTCCACTCTATTCTATCACCCCAAAATAAAACCCAAAACTGAACCCAAATTTAACCCTAACCACTAACCCCTATCTGAAACCTAAAGAAAAGCAAATAATGACCCTTCTTCAGGTCTTCTAGCCCAACCAGAGAATCAACTCGCAGAGCTACACACTTCACTTCACCATATTTGAAAACTCATTAAACTCACCACACACAG